AGAGATATTGACAATGAGTTTAATTCGAGGAGCGCACGAGATCGCTCCGGTTTTTCCGCTTCGTGGAAACGATTTTTCGTCCTAGTAAAGCCACAATAATTTTAGCGACGTCGGGGGCAGAGGAAGGTAAATGGTGCGAGCAGCCGGGAAAAGGGGACAGCGCTTATACAGCGGCCAAAGTTACCGCATCTCAGCGAGCGCGCTTTACTTTGTAAATTAATCCTCAAGTCCGTGAGATTGATGAGTTTTACGTATTTCATGAAATCGGCCTGAACGCCTGCCTTACATAATTCTGTGTATTTATTTATCTGCACAGTCTCTTAAACATAACATCGTGCAACGGGATAAACATTTACATGATGCGTGAATTTTTAAAAGCACAATTTTAATCAAAAAGAAACCGAGATGGTCTTTGAAACAAAATTTCCAAAGAAGTCGGATTTTCGATCTGTTAGATTCAAGATTTTTCAGCTATGCTAACAATACATATTTATTTATCTGCAAAATCTCTTAATTAATCGTAACATTGTGCGACGAGGTGGACGTTTACGTGATTTTATAGACTTTTAAAAGCGCAATTTCATCATGAGGAAACTGAGATGGTCTTCGAAATAGAATTTTCACAGTAGCCTGACTTTCGATCCGCTGGACGCGAGATTTTTGAATTACGCAAGTAATTCTCCTCTACCAATTTGTTCACCGTTATCGTCAGTCGTCGGCAGTTATCGATCGCAAATTTATGAAGAAACTGTCTTTTGCCTGCCTGTAAGCGACTGTGTGGGAGAACACCACGTGTGCGTCGAATCATCCGAACACGTGGCTAGACCATCGCTTCAATGGGGGAATTCTAAATACAGATCGTAGTGTACCACCGTGGTACGATTATGGCAACGTAACTGCATATTTATTACAAATACTAGCTGGGTCGGTTGTCCCACAATGTTGCTCGTCAAACATTTTACCGTCTCTGATATTTCTTACAGAGGTCGTTAAAATTTAATTATGGAAAATTATATGCCCAACTCAAACCACTTTTCTGAGAATCTGAAACAGATAATGTTAACAACTGGATATGTAAAGGGAATTTAAACTAGGCATAAAATTCGCTCGAGTTATTAAAAGAAGTGAGCGATCAGATAGCTGATGAAATTTATCGATTTATCAAAATGCACAGACCAACGCGATTTACCGAAAGAGAAAGACACACGCTATTTTTTTAGTTTGCGAATTGTTGTTACTGATACTGTTGCATGTTCTGTTTTAGTTCATTGGTTCGATGGAGGTTCCCCGACCGACTAGCCGAGTGGAGATCGTGGCGGCGATGCGAAAAATCCGCGTGAGTACATGTAACAGCTTAATTAGCCTAGTTGGAGAGTTATGGCAGATAGTATATAAATGGTACGAGTTCCAACTAAATCCGTTTCATTTGCAGTACGAGTTTAAGGCCAAAGGGGTCAAAAAGAAGAAAGTGACGTTGGAAGTCTCAGTGGATGGGCTAAAAGTGACTTTACGGAAAAAGAAGGTATTCCTCTTTTAGCATTGTGCGCTTCTACCTACTTTGGTACATTCATAATTGAATCGGAAGCGTTAACTCATCAATTCTTGATTGAATAAACTGATTCTCAGCATAAAGAGATATGCGTGATGAGTCTGCCAGATTCGGTGCTACATTATATAATTTAGGGAAGGATGGGGGAGTACAGTTGAAAACTGATTTTCATTTTAATACAAATATCACTCGGCGTAGTAAAAGCCTAATTCTTGTGAATTGGAGTCGGGAAGATTTTTATCGATGGCGCTGAATGTCAGGAAAGTGCGGGATTCCCGTGACGTTCCCAGCGGTAAAAGGAACTAGCGGTTTTCCCGCGGTGTCTCAGCGAAAAAATCGCGTACGTCTGATGACGCGCATTTCGCAACAGTGGCAATTTATAACGAGAAATGATGTTGGACAAGCGCCACGCTTATATCCGCGCTGATACACATTGGGCGCTATATATTCCCGATTCTATACATGTAACAGCCAATAGCCGCTAACAATATACTTGATATAATGACTCGTTAACTTTTCCGCAGAAGAGGCAGCAGCAATGGATGGACGAGAATAAAATATACCTGATGCACCATCCAATTTACAGGTGAGACGATGCTTTTTTTTTTTAAGTAAAATTAGTAAAAGTTAAGAGTAAAATTATGATTAATAATTTAATATTTCACTTGCCTATCATTCATCAGCACCAGCTCTCCTCCCTTTCTTGAATTGATTTTTAAGTATTGCTTACTTGAGCATTACAGTGTTAGTACATTCTTACGTGCTCGTTAGATCGATTGTTCCCTTTACGAACAACTTATGATGAACATTTGCCGCAAAAAAAATAGCATATAAATCTGACATATTAGGCGAGAATGTTTCAACAAAATCCGTGTGTGCACGTTTCAGGATATTTTACGTCTCGCACGACAGCCACGACTTGAAAATATTTAGTTACATCGCTCGCGATGGGAGCAGCAATACCTTTAAGTGTAACGTCTTCAAATCTAGCAAAAAGGTGAGTCGCAATTTATCCGCGAAATGCAGCGAGATTCGGCCGTGCAGACGTTTCTCCACGTCTCTCGATATCGCCGAGCTTCCCACATCGAGCAAGCGAATCGCCGGCTAAGTTTGGATCTAAAAGTTGATATTTGTTATATTCCTGAAAAGAGGAGGAGGAGGAGGAGGAGGAGGAACCCCTTTGGCGGTACCCGTGCGCGCGCCACCAGCGGCGTAAAATTACGTCGCGCACGTGCGTACGTGCCGCGACAATTCACGCAGTCCGCGTCGTCCGTCGCCTGGCGCTTTATCAACTTACGTTATTGTAAACCTATAAATAAACCGTGGACTCCTTGGCCTCCCGCTCGCCCCGTCTTTCTTCCGTTGTGGAGACGCGACGGAACGCGCGCGGAGGGTTGGGAGCAGGCCAGCCGGGGGAGAGAGAGAGAGAGAGAGAGAGAGACGCGCTGCATCCCTGTCAAAGTGAGAGAGAGTGTATTTTCGCCTTTTCGTGGGTGGAGGGATGGCCCGGTGAAGTTGCGACGGGCAGGAAGCGGGGGTGCAGGGAGACGCGCATCGTTTTGTCGTGTATTTGCAGTAGTCGGCCGCGCGCACGGCCGTTTGGCAGCGAGTTATTAAAATAGTCCGGTATAGGCCGGCGCGATCTTCCGCGCGCGCGACATCGGCGGCGCGACCGCTGGCGTCGGCTCCACCTTGTCGGATCGGCAAATCTGCCCGAGGCTTCGGAGCAGAGAAGTTCGTTCGCTCGCTCGCTCACTCTCTTCATTTCTCTCTCTACTTCGGCGGACCCCTCACGATTTCGGCCGCGCTTCAGTTCGTATCCCTCGGCGCGTGCGCGCACGCGCACAGTGCTTTCTCAGTGTGACGTACGTCTCGGGAGAACAACGGTACTTTTCCGTTTAACGTTTACGTGCGCCCCGGTTAACGATTTCATTTCGAAGAGATATATATCGACCGACACCCGAAAACTCGTCGCCTCCGGTGAAGGAGGAATCCGCAGGGGAATGTAGTTCATCTGTTGTCGCCGCCGTCCATGCCGCCGCGTGGATTCCCGGACTTGACTTTTTACGTAACGTCTCGCGCGCCTTCGCGGCCCCGAGCACGGCGTGCGCCGACGTCTTCGTTTGTTTCCTTTGTTGATTATTTGGGGATTCCGGGTTGCTTTCAAAATCTGGGTGAATCCAGAAATAGCCGGCGACTACAAGAGACGATATATCTAGGATACCCGAAATACCTGGCGTCGGCCGAAGTTTTAAACTCCGCGCTATCGGCCGAAACTTCCGAAAAGCTTTTACTCGTCCCTTCCTCCCCTCCCTCCCCCTGTTCCTTCCCAGCTGGCTGGCCTACTTGCTGCCGTTTACACTGACTTTATACGAATTCCCGAGAGCACGACAGCCGCACGTTTGCTCGTCTAATGGACGAGAGACTTCTCTCTCTTTCTCTCGCTTTATCTCCCGCGTGAAACTAGTGTTCAGCGAATATCGCCCTCGGAAATCCCGTTCTATCTTGAAATATCTCTGTTTGCTGTCGCTTTTTCGTGCGAATGTTATCACTCGACTTGGAATGTTACTTGAGTCTGCGGAATCTTTCGTCCGAAACACTCAACGGTTACGCACACTGCGCCGAGAAACTCGCTTTTTCTGATCTGTGACACGTCCGTCGTAAAAGCTATGCGCTCGAGGGAGCTACGTATGATTGATCCTAAGTTGTCATAGAGAAATTCCCGACGGAAAACTACATAATTTATCGGTCGAAGGATATACGGTAGAAGTCTCGCGCGACCGGCCGTTAAGCGACGCACCTACCCTGCTGTTCTATGCAATGGCGTTCTCAGCGAGTTTTGAGCATCTCTTTCCGCATTTCCTCCCAAAATTTCAGGCGAGACGGAGGCATAGGATTACCGAGCTACCGGCACTCCATGCAATTTCTATTTGCTTCTATTTGCTTCTAGAGATGAGTGAATGTAAAACGCTGAAGAAGCGAGCTCCGTTTACCATTCATCCGCGTGCCCGTTCGATTTACTACTCCGGCGAAGGGATCGTTGCTCGGTGAATCGACGGAATGGACATTCTGTCGCTCTTTCTCAAACCATTCCGAGCTGTTATCCAAATATCTATCGAAGCGAGCGAAGCAAACTGTCGATACACCGGAGAAGCGTAAAAAAGAGATAAATTATTCGGGACGCGTTGTAAACCGGAGTCGGGTTTAGACTACCGGGATCGATGTGGGAGAAAGAAAGAAAGACGGAGAAAGAAGAAGAAGAACAAGAAGAAGAAGAAGGGAGAAGAAGAAGAAAAGGAGGAAGGGAGACGGAGAAGTGCCATTGAGCGGGCCGAAAGCGAGAATATTAATGCGCTTATAAATAAACCGGGGGAAAAATCCAGCGAAGCGCGTAGTTCTCGTAGCGCGGCGTGGTGCGGCCGCTTCTGCTGCCACGGTTAACTTCGGCCCCGTGTTCTCTCCGGTTTACGAAAACCTTGTTCACACGCGCCGCCTTTCCTATTTGCCGCCCCCCTGCCGCTCCCGATCGTCTCCTTCGTATCGCGATATTCGCGATATGAGCTTCGACGCGACGACGAAGACCGAGCGAGACGCGAAGAACGCGCGAGCGTGCTCGCGCACGGTCTCCTCCGCGGTTGCTCCTGTGCGAACAACGTGCCGGAACGACTCTTCGACGGGGATCGAGGACCGCGTGGTTCAGTGATCGGACGATCGGCCGAGGGATGTGATCGAGAACACGGAGTGGTAACGAGCGAGTGGAAATAGAATCGCTCGAGATGCGCTACGTGACAGCGCTCGCTGAGGGATTCACGCGTGGCGAGAGGTACGCCGCGATGAGACGCGACGTGTCGCTCCGCAGAAGTCGCTAATGAAATAACGTTACGTCGGGACGTCGCAACAAGACGAGAGTGTGATATCTCGTTCGTTCTCGACGTTCGTTCGTCGATGCTCCACACGAGTTCGTGTCGCCGTCGCCGGTACTTCTGCTGGTCGTGAACTGACGCGACGACGGTGTGCTGTGTTGCGTTACGGAATAAGAAGTCAGTCGGATTTGTACTCGGCCCTTGTCCGGAGATTGTCAGGACGTAGTACAACACACGTAGTCCTATGACCAAGTTCGTTAGCGACCTGTGAATCTTCTTTGAAACAGCGCCTGCTTCGACAGTGTAGTCGAACAGTTATGTGCGCTGCATCATTCCCTTAGATCAGAAGTTACACCATTTTTAGCTTTAAATGCGTATGAAAGGGGAAAGGGGAAAGGAGGGTAAGATGACGATTTGCTAATTTTCCTAAACTAATAACAAATAACGGGTCAGTGGCCAATTAAAGACTTTTAATAATAATAAGTAATCTGTTGCGGTTTGACTTCGGTCTGTCAATGACGGTAGGTAATATAATAAAAAACGCATTTTGGATAATCTCATATGTATAACTTTGTGGTATTTCTTCGCAAAGAATTGCATAATTATAGTTATAGTAATTAAAGTAAACATTTTCACTTTTTCTATATAAATTACTGTACAATAGATCTAAAAACGTATATGATAACGTATTGTTATTTTTCATTTCTCATGTTATTTTTGATTTGACTAAATAAATAAAGTGATCCCATGGAGTAAGATAATATGTTATGCACGGGTAAGATGACGCATTCGTACATTTTATTTAAAAAATTATAAAATAAAAATAATTATAAGTAATTATTTTTGTTTTTGTCTAAATTTTATTTGATTTAAGTTACACTCACAAATTATGTTTTGATTTGTATTGCATTTTATTTGTATTATACAGACATTATTATAAAAAAATAATCTAAAAAGTTCGTGACTTTTTATATGCATAAAAGGATTTATTTTTAACCTTTGTCATCTCACCCACCTATTTCCCTATGGAAACAAAATGACGAAGTCGAGACATTCTCAAAAAATTTAAATCAAACAAGATTCCAGTTTATTTATAAATTTTTCAGTTTTTGCAGATGTTTAGACAAGGCTTTAGCTACCCAGAAAAAAAATTGATAATTATTTTTACGTCACTGCGAAAATGAGGAAAAATCAACAAGAACTTAAGATTGTCATCTTATTCTCTTTTTTCCTATATAAGGTCAATACCGTTATAATTAGAGCAATTATAACCGTATCACATATTATAATTAGATTTTCAGCCTTATGAAGATCATGCTCTCCTCTTCCATCGTAACATCAATTATTAATGCGTCGTGATCTTTGATATATTTTTATAACGATGTATTTTTGTCTTTGTGCAAGGTTTTCCATTCTTGGCAATCCTATGCGACTTGTAGAATAGGTCTCTAGTAGTTTCTTCAATATTATTTGGATAACATCAAGGTGATGTTAGGGCGATTGTTCTCTTCTTTTTCTACCTGATTTGCCACGTCCTCTTCCATTTTGGTAAAGTCAGAGCCGAGCGCGGACCAGTTTCTTGTCAGCAAAATGATCCGGGTCAGACTCGGGTCTGAATTCAAAATGGATATAGGTCGAGCTAGATTATACGACAATGCATCGGGCCGGACTGGGTGCTATTGGGCCTTGATTTACAGGGCTCTATCTTCGATATACTGTTCAACTTCCTGAAAGTATCCCAGCAAACCACCAAGTAACAGTAACATTACATCAATGTTATAATTTCCCACTCAATAATATAACTATTATATACAGCTTCTAATAAATAACATTGATATAACGTATTGCTGTAACGCTACTGACGTTTGCCGGGGTCTCACGTGTAACTTTTTGCAGTTTTTTCCTTAGCCGATCGTCCCGCAATTAAAACTGATAGATGCGCTCGTGATGTGTGACTCTTCGCGGAAGCGATGCGAGTCCGCAACAGTCTCTAAATTACGCACGATTTAGCGGGGAATTTGCCAGATCGAATTCGCACATACACACACACACACATATTGGATGACTATTTATAATTGAAAACGCCGTGTGGACAGATCGTACGCGGCCAACAAGAAATCTTTAAACTCGCGCTATATCACAATTGTCCTCTTTCGTGTACATATTCCAAATAAATAAGCGCCGGGGGGAAGCGAAAGAGAGGATAATGAAACGTTCTTCATTTCGCGCAAAAGCTCAGCCGTGTATTTCTCTGAATGTTGAATTTTCCGCGATATGTGCGTCACGATTATCTACCGGGAATTGTTAATGTCGATGCATCGGCGCGAAACGTCAGAGATAATGCATTTTGGACGTCTGCGAACGTTTACTCAATATAATTCGCGCGCACCTTGCGCATATTTCGACGTTCCCACGCGCTTCCTAATGGACGACGTGGCTATGCGTCTCCGACGAAGTTCATATTTGCGCGCTTAAGATTTTCGTCTCATTAAGATCTTTTTATATTTCAGATTTCAGTAAAGATTTTTATCATTAACGTGCCACACGTGTTCGTTGCGAATCGCCAGGTGCAAGATTTCGCACACGAGTGTACGTCCGATTTATGTTTTTTTTTTTCGTGAGCCGAGCGAGCCAAAACAAAGTCAAAGGGACAGTCGAGGTGACTCGCCTTTGTGCCGCGAAATGACGATTTATATCTCGGGCAAAGAAGAAATATGGTGAATGTTCCAATTAGTGACAAAGTAATCTTACCGTGAGAATGAATTAATAAATTGTTAAAATAATTCACGTGTTAAGAACATAACATTTATTTTGTTCGAAAGTTTCAATTGAAATTCTAATTAGATTTTCTTTAATCTATGGTAAAATTTTAATTAATTTATATGTTCTCAGAAGTGACGGAAGTATCACTTAGTGACATGTAACTTTGATCTTATCTCAATTTCTGTGACACATGTATGCCCATATTACTGACAAGTGACAAATGTACAGACAACCTATTATTGATTTAAATATGACAGTTTATAGACTAAGAACTCATATTTGTACTATTTGCTAAATTTTGGAGGAGTATGTTATAATCTTGATTCCTTAACTTTGTAATGAATAAAATTTACAGTTCACATTTTCTTTCTAGAAATAGAAATGTTTTTATCATTTTATATCATATTTATTTAGATAATAGAATCAAATAAATATTCCAGTATCGATTAGTGTAACATATATGTATTATAGTAACATATATGTATTAACTACAAAAAAATACATACTTTGCTATTTTTTCGCTTGCAAAATATTCCTTGATTTTACCACGACTTTGACAATACGATTTCAGCCGTTTGAAGTTAAAAATAACTACAAAGAAATATCAAAAAGGCGCCTTACATTAACAGCCCATCTCTAAGATGTCGGCGAGTAAAATGTTCGAACTGTTAATGTTATGTATGCTTATAATTACGATATTCCAGCATTCACCATCACTTCTAATTTTATTCGAAGCTTGTTATAACAGATAAAAGGCTACCTTCGGAAATACCACACTGAGAGTATAGTGGCATTTAACTGACCAATCGGGACAAAAAGAGCTAAGATTTCTTTACCCATGATTTATTCATAATCAATTAAATGCCATTCTACTCTCAGTGTACATTTCCGAACGCAGTGAAAATTTAGAATAGAAACACACTTTGTAGGTTAAATATGGAACTATATCGTTCGATTTACTAAGAAGCACAGATGCGACCGTCACAAATTGAGACATCGTCAATAATTGGGATGTTCGCCTTACGAATAATCAGTGAACTCGCGATGGATGACAGCATCCGCGGTTGCGAAGGTGTCGGGCGCATCGGCGCTGTGCCGTGAAAGAAGTTCCGAGCGAATGCGCGATCAGGGGATCTGTAAGCCATGCTCAGAAATTCGTCAAAGCCAGCGATGGCTTCGACCGAGCTCCCAGTGCCAGTGAGCCCTGGCCTCAGCGGCAGTGGCAACCCCTTAGGCTACGAAACGACACCTCGGCCACGCAAGAAGCTTTCCTTCAAAGAACCGGAGACCTTCAACTCCCTGAAATTGCGCAAGCCGGTGCCACGGCTGAAGCTGATTCACACGCAGAACAGCGTTAACCTCAGCTTCGATGAGAATCCCTTCGAGGAGGAGAACGACGATCTAGATGAGCTCGAGGTAAAAGGTTGCTCGCGCACGAGCTTCCCTTCGCACTTCGTACTTTGTCTTACGGGACTTCATTTAACGACGATTTATCGATCGCTGGTTAGCTGGATGCGGTGATTAAAATTCAATTCGACGGGGAGTGCTTTATCCGCGGTTTGATGGCCGACAAATATCGCGCTTGAGCGGAACCGTTGAGAGATGGCCGATGTTGGAAGCTCGCTGATGTTGTGTGTGTGTAGTGTGTAATATTATTTTTACGTTATCTGTAACTTATATATAACTTTTGCATTACACAGAGGAAAAAATGTGTACTAGATTCAAGTAAATAATTATTCTAATACTTGGCAAATATTTATTTCGATTGAGTAATGTTTACTTGTTCCAAGTAAAATATTTTCCGAGTAAATTATCCAAATAAAGTTTATTTAATTCAAGTAAAAATTTGATAAAGAGTATTAGAATAATTATTTAATTTAATCTAGCACTTTTTTTTTATGTATGTAGTGAAGAAGGATGTTACGAAAAAGTCTGCTTTTACAGTGCTTGGAAAAAGGAAAATAGGCGTAATTTCTCACAGTTTTTGAGGCGAGGAGTCCGTCAGTGCTAATTAAAATTACATCACATGACGGGAACACATAAAAAGTTGAGTTTAAATCGGGTGAATGCGTGCTGTCTCAGTCATTCGCGGGATAAGTTGATATGCTGCATACGATGGTACTCAGTGTGATACATCATCTATGTTTTGACATAAAAAATGTAGTATATCTTGTGGAAACACTATTTTTAATAATGAAAATATCAGACGCAAACGGAAAATTCTCGTGCGCTTGCACGACCATATTCGAGTCGACTTCCCTCACTCAGTGGCTCGAGAATTTTCCGTTGCGTCTGATATTTTCGCTAAATATAGCTAAATATACAAATTTTCTACGTCAAAAGATGATGCATCGTATGTCATGCGACAAAATTTTTAAACTAACACCATCGGATTCCCCGCCTAGAAATTATAAGAAGTAATGCACTAAGAGAAAAAATAGATGATAGATTCAAGGAAATATTTGCCAAGGAGTGTATTGGAATAATTATTTTATTTAGATTATATAAATATTACTTGAATGTAGCACTTCTTTCTTTCCGTATGTTACATTCAAGTAATATTTACTTAATCCGAATAAAATAATTACTTTAATATTCCTCAGCAAATATTTATTTAAACGTAGAACTTTTTTCTTTCAGTGTGTCTCTTGTATTTTTGCGTACTTTTGCGTACAGCAAAAACAGGCCTTTTCATAACATCCTCCTTTGATAATGTACAGTCGGCAGATTAAAAGTTGCAATATTTTTTTCGACGAGTTTTGGAGCAAATCATCTCGCATCCGACAGGGAAAATATATCTCCCGAGGATGATTAGAAACACAAATTCTCTTATCAGGCACACGGGATACGTCGCGAAACTCATCGAAGGTCAAGAGTCGCGACGTTTAATCTGCCGACTGTGTGCGTGTACGATATCGCGAATTCGGATGCGGGATTTATTGGATCTGCGGATAGATAAATTAAAAGCCGATTTGATTCGATCAGAGTCAAGCGATGAGGGTGGTCAGAACAGTTGGGCAAGCTTTCGAAGTGTGCCATAAGTTAAGTATAAACAACACTACGGAGGATCGCGATCGAGGAGACAAAGACGGGGAGAATCACGGTGAAAATTACGGTGATGTTTACGAGGACCAAGACGAAATTCCTAATGAGCAATCTCAGCCATCTCCGTCACCGGTGCATAAAGGTGAATATCTCTGCTCGCACTGTCGATCGAACGTTTACAACAACACCTGGTGTTTCCTTCGATTGTTTCTCGGTGTCGAAACTCATGACAGCCTTTAAACGCAATTGCTAGTCGCACGATCGAGAAGAATCGAATAATTAAAGCATACACGAGCGTTCACTCTCTTTCTCGCTCTCTCTGTCTCTCCTTCTATTTTCCTTCTCTGCTGACACTCATCCCTCGTCTCTATTGTTCTTCCATTGCATTTCAGACATATCACTGTTAGGGGACACCGAAGATTCGGTCCCCGAACAAACGTCCGTTACCTGTCTACTTCGATCACACGATGGACCGGCCACAACAACCTCTACCTCACCAATTAGACAGTCGCCATCGGTAAAATCTTCTTAAATTTCGTTCAATTAGTAAAACGTCTATACATTATCTAAGTGAAGAATATTTCACGAAATACACGAAGTCAGGGATAAACGGTGTATCGACATCGTTATAATTTTCTCGATTTTGGCGAAAAGACATCATGTGCCACGGTAACAAAAGGTTTTTGATCCTGACAGTAATATGTTAGGCTTTTACGAGGCTTACATGCGTTTTCATTAGTTTACTTCCTCTTCCAATTTTGTGCGAGACGCTATGCCTCGTTTCAGTTTCTCTGTTATTCGGAAGAAAAAGTTGAGTCCGCGTGATCACTGCTATTATCAGCCTGATCCAATGAAATAACTGATTTCCTGCCGGTAACCAGTCTGCAAAGACAATAAATCAAAATTGGTAACAAACTTAAGGCTCTTGTGTGTTCGCCGAAACCATCTCGTTTCGTGACGTTAGAAGCGAGAAAATTTATACTCAGAATTCTTGCGGTGTACGTGCGAATAGAAAGATATATATCCACGAAATGACGTTTGTGATCGATTCAACACGCTTGCAAAATACTACGAACACTTTCCCTTTGCTCGAACAATCAAGTAATAGTTGTAAAATTAACATGACCAAATCATGAGAAAAGATTGGTTAAGAAGAGAGTACATTTTATGACGTTAATTGTATAGTTATTATTATTCTCAGCATGCGTTTCTTCGCTTCTCGGAATCATCAAACAAGACGAATGCAGCGAGGCACCAGGAACCTTAGTAATTCATAAATGATCAGAAAACGTAAAAAAAAACCACGAATTTTACCATTTTTTTCGTGATGTAGGCTTAAGAAACCCATGATATTATTTCAACATTAAGTTCGCGAGTGTTGCTCTCAAGGTTTAATCCGTGTTCCAACATGTTACCGGTGCAGGTTGTAAATTCCGAAGGGCTTGTTTTTCTCTCTTCATTTCGCGACGATAATTCGCTTCCTTGTGAATTTCAACACGATTAGACTTGAGCATTTTGGGAGCGACTTTCGTATTACTTACGTAGTCGTGTTTACATTTGTTGAACTTCCAATTCGTCTCTAATTTCACGGACGAGTTGGAAATAGTTTTGTTTTACTTTTCTGTGCGCATATAATTCAGAGATATCAATTTCTTCTACTTACAGGGCACGGTGACCTCCGAATGCGGAGGTTTATTGGTGGGAGGCGAATTAACAGCCTTGAAACACGAGATACAGCTCCTACGTGAACGTTTGGAGCAACAGAGTCAACAAACCAGAGCCGCCGTTGCCCATGCGCGACTTCTTCAGGATCAGTTAGCGGCGGAAACGGCGGCGCGCGTCGAGGCTCAGGTATAAATAAGTGAATCAATTACCAGAGAACACAAATATTTCGTAGTACCACGAATAGAGAGTCGGCTTTACGCGCGATTTATCGTAGAAACGAAGTAAATCTCAGAGCTTAATACAATTTCTCGAAGGAACGAAGGCAGAATGATTTGCACAATAAATATTGTAGACCGGAAAAATCTTATCTGCTAGATATGTTATCCTTATTATTTATTTTCGTGGTGTTTTTGATCTCGCGATTTTTGAATAGATCGGACGCTGTGCATGTCAAAGTGGAAATAAATATTCAGTTCATACAAAAGAGAAAAACATTTCTTTAATGAGATTTATTGAAACAAATTTGTCTTTTGGAACGGAGCAAATGAATTGACGCTTGTTTCAACAAATAAGATGTTAGTTTTTTCAAACAATAAATATCTTTATTTATATCTTATTCTCTATTCCTTTTATCGCGTTTTAAATTATATTTCTAATTTCTTATTCATAATTCTCTATATTTAATTCCTTGTTCGTTATTCCTTTCGTTGTATCTGATTTCTAAATCCCATGTATTCCACCGTCAGAGAGAACATATTCACTCTAATCGATTGGAACAATTCCTCCGCACGGAGTCGAAGTCCGCTCTAAGTTTGAGACATGAAACATTCGCCTTTGTAATTTCGAGCGGCGATATCTCCATTGTTGCTCCGAATAAAAATACTATTCGCTTGTTTTGAATGAGATCCCACTCCAAGAAATGTGGAAAATAACAAGAGGCCGAAAGCCGACGTCGTTGATCATCGTCGAAATATTTCCAATGAGCAAGACTCTTGCTCATTGGAACCTTGCAATGACATTTCCCTCCAGGGAGATCGACGGTTAATCACTCGTTCGTTTCACAGGCGAGGACACACCAACTGCTAATGCAAAATAAGGAATTGCTAGAGCACATAAGTGCGCTGGTGAGCCACCTGAGGGAACAGGAGCGTGTTTCCGGTGGTCACGTCACCTCGCAGTCGCAAATACCGACGTCCGCGACAATGAACCAGCAGAACGCGGCGGCTTCCGACTTATCGAGCCTCGGCCAGGTAACGCTCTACCGAATCCCATGACACGAGTGCCCTGGAGCCGAAGCATTGCCGACTGACCGACAGCGTTGCATCTCAATTAACGTTTAACAATGCATCTTGTACCTTTCTTCTATTTTTTTTTCTCTCTCTCTGTCTCTCTCTCTCTCTCTCTCTCTCTCTTTCTCTCTCTCTCTCTGTCTCTTTTCTCAATACCGTTAACGCCTTTTGTACCGACATCTCCTTTTTTAACTTTATAATAAAATGTTTTACACACACTTTCTGTTTTTGCAGCTGCTACACGCCGACGCTATTATTGCGTACCTTCGAATAAAACACTTTTTTGTGTTCTGATTGACTTGCGCGCGATGCACGTACGTGTGTACTGTGTTTGTGTGTTTTCCGTTTTGGGACCGACGGGACCGACACGGCGAGAAGATGCTCGACCGTTCGGACTTTACGCGCGGCTAATCGCGTTTCTACGTGCTCTCACGGCGCCGCAGAAATCACACGAATCGTAATGACCCGCCGGAGATCAACGATAAGATCGACGATGGGCGAAAGTTGAATTGCATATTGAAATGCGAGCGAACCGTCTCGTAGTGCGTATTCTCGTATATTTATCTTTGTGACTTAGTTGCTTGCATATGCACAGAGAGAGGCGCGATAGCGAGAGAACGAATTTCGTGCTAAGAATTACACCGACTAATCTAATAACAATTAAGCACCAGTGTGACGGTGTTGTCTAACAGGTCTTCGCACGGGATATCGGAGTACAAGCCGCCAACGAGTGCTAGGTAATACCGCCACTTATTACTAAAATCTGTCGAGACATAAGCGATCAGAGATCGAGCGATACACGCTTCTAAAGTATTTAAATATTCGAGAATTGCGAAGGAGGTAAGAACACACACGAACGAATACTGAATACGCCTTTAGAACACCTCGATGTTCTCGGATACGTAAATTTGAGGATCCTGAAAGCGCGCCTTCTTGAGCAGTGCCAGCGAACCGGAGGCCAGAGCTCACCGTGGGAGCTGGACCCACCGACTTTTCCATACTGCTCGTATCCAACGGAATCGCTTTATTCCGGGAGTCTCGGCGCCATGGGGATCCAGAGTAACAATGCCTCCGCGGACCAACTACAGTTCCAGACGCAGCTGCTGGAGAGACTGCATAACATAAGTCCGTTCCAGCCCCAGAGATCGCCCTACAATACGCCGTCGCCGTACGCGATGGGCCCCAGTTTGCTTCTACCTCCTAGTGGACCATCGGTGAGTAATATAAGAAACTAATTATTAACCCTTTGCACTCGAGGGCTCCGGAGCGGAGCCATTTAAAATTCGCCTTCAAACTCGAGGGCTCCGCTATGGAAACAATGCAAATAACTTTCAGTTCATAACATAAGGACAAAGACAAATCGTAAAAACTATTGTGTATAGGATATTCCGCTCTTGCTATTTGCATTTGAGTTTGAAGAGTTTGAAGACAAATTTTAAATGGCTCCGCTCCGGAGCCCTCGAGTGCAAAGGGTTAAATATATACACAGCTAAAAATTAGAATTATTTCTTATATTTTTTGATGACAGTAGTTATTGAGCAATACGATTCATCTTATTGTAAAAAACTTGAATTATTATATTTTATAATGTAATAACACAAAAACAATAAATAAAACATACGATTTCATGTTAGGTGCAATTTTGTTTAATTAAGAGGACATTCTCAGGACATTTTTTTTCGGGTTTAAATGGACACCCTGTTACAATTCACAGTATCGCACGTTTAGAGATACATCGCACGTCAGCATCTATCGTTCAACCCTTGCCTTCTCATCACGATTTCGAAATTCTCTTCAGAATTCAGCCCAGCTCTCTCCGAGCTCCGCGTCTCTACGAGTCTCTCAAGCGAACAGCTTCACCTCATCGCCGGTCATGGCTCACAAGCTGGACAACTTGCTCGGGACGGACGGCATGGACGCGCAGCATCCCGCATTCATAAGGCCCTTGCCGTGCACCAACGACAGGAACGTAGCTCACGCGTTGGCCGACGCTAAAGTTAAGCAAGAACGCTCGAATCCTCAGGACGACATACCTCCGATAGTTCTGGACCCTCCGCCGCTGAATAAACGCTCGGACAACAGTCTGTCCAAGAAAGCCAGCACGAGGCAAAGCTCGATGGCTCAAGGGATGGCGCAGGACGGCAAGAATCCTACGAAGAATCTGGCGACCATCCTGCGGACTTCGGGCCCGCCGCCTTCTCGCACGACGAGCGCGCGATTGCCGTCGCGCAGCGACCTGATGAGCGAAGTGCAGCGGACGACTTGGGCACGCCACACCACCAAGTGAGAGCGGACGCTCGGGTGGCCACCGGTCAACGAGGCTAATGATTTTGTTAGAATTGGGATGAAAAGAATGATGCTGCTGTGTCGAGGTGCATCCCATGTTAGTTATTAATCGTGAGAAATTACGCGTGGTTTGAAAACCTCTAATCTAATGGATCTAACAGGGTTTGCATTTCCTTCTCGGTCGCGAAATCGCGAATCCCCCAAACACGTCATGTCTAGAGAGAGATTTCTCCGGGTAATGCTAAACGATACCCCTGCCGATTGCTTAGGATTGGATTAGGCGGGAGGGGAGCGAGCTCGAAATCCGCGAGATACGAAGAATTTAGAAGATATCTTTTAGAGAACACCTTTTACAGAGTACTTTTATCGAAGCTTTAGGCACGAGTCGGATGTCACTCGGCGATAGAGTCTGGTGATATCACTGTAGAACGATGGATAATGACGTACAATACGGTGTGACTTGCGCGCGCGTCACGAATGTGAAAATTGCGGTATGTCGACGGATATTGTAAATTCGTCTCTATCTCGTCATATAACAACATTTGCGGGGTGTTTGCGAGAGAGCCGGGAGACAGTAGTAGTCGCGCTCGGGGAAAACTGTAGATTTATATCTCACGCACGTCTCAAGCAGCCCCAGGGACAAATCGTAAATACGTAACTCGTACGTTTATTCGTATCGCGGCGTTTCTAAGCGTACTCTCCCACACGTGTACAAGAATCGTCATCTAACGAACGAACGAACGAATCTGTGCCAAAAGTACCAATCGTCAAGAGAGTTTATTTTCAGTATATTTTTAAGTATTGTAAATAAGAATACGCGTGATCACACAGTTTGTGATAAATATATATATATAAATATATATATATTTACTATCTCTCAAGAGGGTCTTTTTTTTTTAATTTAAGCCTTTTACAATTTAATTTTACACGTATCGTAATATCGTCGTCCTAAAGTCAGCGCTTGTTTAGCCCTTGATCAAGGCTAAGTAAATTACCGATACGAGTTATTTATTATGTCTAATGTTTCGCCACGATTATTACGCGCGACCAAATGCAATATTGTACCCTTGTTTTATTTCGAATCTGCAATTATCCTCTTTTATCGATGTTTCCTATTTTTTAGGTTGGATAAAAAAAGCTTGTCAGGCATGGGAACGATTTACATTTCTCAGTTTTACTCACTTATTTCAACACATCTCACTTTTTCTGACTTTTAAGAAAATTCATTTCAACGTACAAATTAATTGGAAAAGACTCTCATCACTCTTTTAAAAGCTGACTCACTATTTTCACACATTTTCAAGAATGATATTCACTCTTCTCGCTGTTTGTGACAATTTAGCCGCTCCCATGCCTGGAGGCCTGTTCATTTTAGCTGAACTAATGCTGCATTCTCTCTGGAGAACCTTGTTCCTTTCCCCTTCAACGGCTAGATCGTGCACTTGTTTCACTCAAGAGGCAAAAAATGCAGCCTAGTTCAGTTTAAAAAGAATAGATCTCATGGCATGCTCTAGTAATTCTCGAGAACAATAAAAGCTCGACGTGAGTTTCTCGCGTGCACACGAACAGAAGATCACCGTAACGTTCGCTAATGAGATAAAAACGAATGCGCGTTGGCGGCTTTCAGCGTGCATAAGTTAATGACAGCATAACGGTGTTCATTATTGCAAATGTATTACTCCGGCAACTTCAATTTCATTCCATCTTCAGCTGACGGTAAGCCGGCGGATCGTTACAAGGGTCAGCTCAGTTTGCCTCCGCCGCGCAATAAGTCGAGTGAGTACTCGGTATCTTCCGCCGACTTCATGGCTTCACCATGCGTACAGATCGCGGTGCGTTAACTGACAAAACATTAATTATGCGTGAAGCTTGTTTTCCGACGATCTGAAACCTCATCACACTTGTAAAATACTCCGAACATTTTCCTTCTTTTTCTTTTTTGCTCGAACAATCAATAAATGGCTGTAAAATTAACGTGACGATCATGAGAAAAACAGGCTAAAAAGGAAGATTATGTGCCATGTTAATTTTATGATTATTTATCGATGGTTAGAGCAAAGGGAAAGTTACCGAAGTGTTTTACAAATATGCTGAATCGATCACAAATGTATTTTGTGAGTGTATCTTTTAATTCGAACATATACTTCCTCTGCAAGAATTCTGAGTAACATCATCAAAGAAGACGACTGCAATAGCAGGCCAAGAGTTTTAAAAGGGTGTATTGCCCATAACTCGGAATAATAAAAAAACACTAGAAAAAGTTACAAAATCATCTACATTGCATTTAAATGTGATATCAAAAGTTGATATGCCACTAATGGACAATACATCCTTAAAAGGATAAAGAAAGACCTAATCATTATTGTGATTACAGTCGTTTGTAGCGGACAATATGCAGGTTGACTCGGACCAAGCGAGAACTGCCGGCATTTTGAGACTAGACAAAATATCACGCCCCTCCGAACGTCTCGAAACATTTTCCTCACTAACGAATACGCAGGTATATTCCATACATTTAATTTGATTAATTCTCACTCGACATCCTTCGTATTCGTGAAGGTTGTAGCCACGATGCAACGTATCGTGTGGTGCCTTCGGTACCCAACGCGCGTTCCAGCTTCGTTTCACCTCGCTCGTTTCTGGAGTGGCCATTATTGACCGTTTTCGAGCAATTTCACATTTCAGCCGGAATTTACAACTCGACCGTCGTAATTGGCGAGCATTAGCGAAAATTACGTCAGCGGACAACACGAGAGTGATTTTCGCGGGATCCGTGCGATCGCGTGTAGCACGTGCCATGTGCTACTAATCATCCCCATCCCCTTCCAACTCCTCCGAGGAAAGTGATTACCTGCGAAGCAGAAGGGTGGAGTCATGCAAAGAAGAAAAAAATGTATAAAAGCCATTGCGCGTGAAAGAATTTTAATCCGGGTCTACAATAGGTGTGATAAGACTTTAGCATTTTGTTCTAAGCACTAAATTGTATGTAACGTAATTTCCAACAAAAAATGAAAAAGGCGTGAAGAGAACTTGTGGGTGATTTTTCAATTAATCGAGCAGATTCTTCGCGCGATCGTCGCAGGCGCGTTGATCCGATCGAGCCGCGCGATATACACAGGCCGAAGAAGGGTGTGCCGGTGTGGCGTGTGCGACCTCGGATTAACGATTACCTGCGGACACGTAAACGAGAGGGTTCGAGCTTTGTCGAAATCATGTCAAGAAGGAAACGACGAAAACAAGATCTAGATTATATATAAATCATAGTTTGGCGCGAAAATTTTTGTAGCTATATTTCGATCAATTTCATATTTATGTCGACAAATGTGAAGAACTACGCTTGACATTAATTGAAATGAAGGTTAGGTAATAATTAATTAATCAGTTAAAAGTCAAATTTAAACGCTAATAAGTTAAGAAGTTAATAACTTCTCATTTGACTTGGTGAATTTTAAACGAGTTAACTTTTAATTTGAACTAGTTTCAAAATTTATAAAATTAACTTCAACTTATTAACTTTTCCTGTAAAAGTTAAAATAATTTATCAATTGAAATTATTGCAGGTTACTTATAATATAGGGAATAAAAAAGAATAACGAATTTCTTTGTCTTTTTGAATACTAGTAATTTTTTATATGCAGATCTGAACACGAAACAATCAGATTTTTCTTATAAAATACTATTTTACCATTATTTTACATAAATTTAATCAACGATTAAAAGGTTAATCATGCAAAAAAACCTATATACGGCTTTGAATAATTAACTTATAACTTTAAGAAGTTAATTTTATTTTAATTTAACCTTTTTAAATAAGTTAGTTTCTGTTTATGCAATTCTTAACTTATTTAAAAATAAAAATTAACTTAATCAACTTCACGAAATTCAAACTCACCGAGGTCGCATCAATCTAAATTTCAATGGAAGTAATTAATAACAGTCAATTTTATGTGAGAAGTATCAAATTTAAAGAAAGTATTTTAAAAAGTTAGATTTATATCGATTATTTGATTAAGAGACGAAACATCCGATGCACTTCACTCGATCGTGTGATAGTACTTATTTAATGAGCACGTTATCTTCCCGATCTCGGGATCGACGCCACGGGGTTGATAAGGGACGTGATTCCCGATTTCATTCGCAAACGAAGCGACTCGGAACGTGGAAGTGGGTCTCGCAGTTGGGTCGCTGAGCTCTGCATTACTCGCGTGACTGTGAGAGATCTATGATCGGTTCACTAAGACAGTAATTGGTATCTTTCTCACCCCCTTTATAGGTGGGCCCGTCATCCCCGTCGCAGCCGCAACCGTCGCCCAGTCGACAGTCGGTTACGTTTGCTATCGTCGAGAGTCAGTGCAACGAAGATTTCGTCGAGAACGATCAAAGATCGCGAGTAATCGCGAGCGCGGAAGTGCGGCCCAACGACGATACGCGTGTTTCCGTTACTGGTTAGTAAACAATAGCGCTGACTGACGTTCTTGCTCAACATGTAAAATGTTCGTCGCTGGAACGGAATACTCGGAACCGCGTCGCCCTTTCGTTGCGAATTCTCTGATCGATCTAAAATATTTCGCAAGAATTTTGGACATGCGTTTTCTCGCTGCCGACGTCATCAAACAAGACGACTGCAGCGAGGGACCAGAAGCCTTAAGGATGAAAGATTTAATAAGAATGTAAATTAGTTATAGATAAAAAATCGCGTTACATCCGGCGTATGTTAATCTTATGCGACATTTTGGAGACAAAGTGTCAGTTTGTTGCGAATTTTTTGAAAAATAGGGCAAATTATTAAAGAGATAACGGCGGAGCCGGGTGAAAATTCACAAAATCTGGCGTCAATGGAGAGATCAGCCGTGGACGGCGAAATGAACAGCAACGAAAATGATTACTCGGCGTCGGTCTGCGCGATTATTCAGAGACGGAGCTCGACGCGCCGGCAGAGTCGGCGGAGACGACGTCCGTCGTCTCCGTTTGGTCCCGACGTCGACAACGTGACGCGCCGTCGATCCTCAGCTTACACCACGAGCTCCGGAGAGTTAGTATTTCTGCGATGTTCAGAATCGGAGATCGAGTCTCCAAAAATTTATCAAGTTTATACCAAACACGAGACACTTAACACTTGAATTGTCACATTATCCATATATGGCTGACAATTTTAATAACTGACGTATAAGAATAATTTTATGAACTATTTATAAAGATATCTGATGGGAATATAATATCATTTGCACATAATATGTATTAATGAAAAGAACAAAATTAACATCATGAAATTTTTAAATGATTATTATAAAATAATCAAACTTACATGTATTTTTCGTGATATTTTGGAAAGCAATCCATGCATAATTGTGGTTGTTGTTATACCGGTTTCTTAAAAGTACTTATAAGTTAGATAAGACATGAAATGTGGAATATATATTAAGGGTGAAAGTACACAATAAGAATTTTGTGTTAACAACGATCCATTGAAATTTGGTATTACTTTAACACGGATGATGTGTTAAAAAGCGCACAAACACGTAATGTTAAATTAACACATTCACTTTGCCAACATATGTTAACAACGTGAAAAATATATTGAAAATGAAGAATATGTTGAAGAAATGAACAACACTTTCCGTGTTAAAGTAATATAAAATCACAGTGAAATAAATTCTAGTCGTTTGTCGATATGCAAGTGTCGGATAACAATGAATTTAATAGCACGATCATTTCGATGGAGGAGAGCGGTAATCAAGAACAGATCTTCGAGAATCTCAAGCTGCACAAGGAGGTTCTGAGCGGCGTGAAACAACAACCCTGGCCGCTTCGGCGTAAGATCAAGCTTGTACGACAAGCCAAGTCTTACATAAGACGACACGAAGGTGCTCTGCAGGAAAGGCTCGCCCAAAGCCGCAACACTAAAGATGTCATTGCACGTGTCTCGCTTTTCATGACCAAGGTAATCTTTGCAAAACTTTAACCATTAACTTACCTAATCTTGATATTTTTACATCATACGTTAATGGTATGCATTATTTTGTACGATTCGCTCGAAAACTCACGATACATTTTATCTTGCAGAAATGGCAATATTTCCGGCGCGAGCTGATCAATCTTCAAACATGGCTGATACCGTGGGAAGTGCGCATCATGGAAATAGAATCTCACTTCGGATCTGCCGTTGCGTCCTACTTTATATTTCTCCGTTGGCTGTTTTGGATTAATTTAGTCATAGCAGCCACCCTCACGGCATTCGTGGCTATGCCTGAGGTAAGATATTTTTTATTTTTGTTAATCCATCAACTATCAAATCAATCTCCTACGTTTATCGACTATGTCAAACAAATAACGACATAAATTTGATTTCTGCGCAAATACAAATCTCATCTAAGATTTATAAGTTATTGATCGTCTTTCTTTACAGGTGCTGACCGCAAATGCAACGCTCGCCGGCGAAAGAAAGATTATGCTGAGGGAGGAAAGAGTCAAGTCGAAGCAATTGTTGACGTTGTGGGAATTCGAGGGAGTACTGAAGTACTCTCCGTTTTTCTACGGATGGTACACGAATCAAGACTCGTACGGCACTTACAGATTGCCTTTGGCGTACTTTGTCACTAATCTCGTCGTCTACACGTACAGCTTCGTCGCAATTCTGCGCAAGTACCGACTAGATTTCTCTCTCTCTCTCTCTCTCTCTCTCTCTGTCTTTATCATTAGTTAATGTAGCACATTTTCTTCAAGCCACGAGATACATTTCTAAATTTCCCAAATCTCGAAGTTGACGGAAATATAATCTATTTTTCTCAATAAAAATGAAGCAACAGAGTTTTCGAGTGATAAGCTACTCGAAATAGTTTGCGAATTGATTGTTCATCTTCTCGAGACAAGATTGAATCTAAATAGGAACGTTACAGATTTACATTCCTGATAAAAAAAAAAGAAAGACACGAACCATGTACATGAAGACGCATTTCTTGTTTCAGAATGGCGGAGAACTCGCGATTGAGCAAACTGACCGAGAAGGAGGACGAGTACGTCTTCTCGTGGAAACTTTTCACAGCATGGGACTTCATGATCGGCAATCCAGAGACTGCTCACAATCGCACGGCCAGCATCGTGCTCGGCTTCAAAGAGGCCTTGCTGGAGGAAGCGGAAAAAGAAAAGGACGAGAGAAAGTAAGCGCTCCTAACATAAAACGGATTGATATTCGGTAGCTACTTGTTACACTGAAAAAAAAAAATTGCTACGTTCAAGAAAATATTTGCTAAGTAGTTTGTTTTTTTTTAGATTAGGCAAATATTACTTGAATGCAGCGCACTGGGAGAAAAAAGTTATACATTGAAGTATATTTACTCAATCGAAATAAAACAAACTACTCCGATACTCCTTAGCAAATATTCACTTGAACGTAGCAATTTTTTTATTTTTCAGCGTAGAAATTGATTTCTCGCTTACGTGTTACTTGTGTTACTTAACTGTGCCTTTCAGTTGGAAAATCATATCAATGAGGATATTCGTGAACACAGCGGTGCTGTCGTTACTCGCGTTGTCGGCGTTCGCCGTGGTCAAAGTAGTCGAACGAAGCACTACGGAGCTCGACTCACACAATTGGTGGCGCCAGAACGAGATCACGATCGTGATGTCTCTGATTACATACGTCTACCCGATATTCTTCGAGATCCTTGGTTTCCTCGAGAATTATCATCCCAGGAAGCAGCTTCGGATACAATTGGCGCGGTAAAGCTGTTTGCAATCGACTACCGTCCACCGAGAAATGAAGAACTTAGCTTTCACACCGAAACTCCACTTTAAACATATGTTAATATATGTCGGTTTATTTTAAATATTACATTATGACGTTTCATTAAATAATATTTTCCTTTGCGATATGTTACAAAGTATGATTTGTATGGAATTCTCACGGACGGCAGTTCGTTGCGTATATAATGCATTTTACTTTTGATGAGGTCCAAGCGATGCATTTGGTTGTTCTTCTGTTTCAGAATCATGGTCTTGAACTTGCTAAATCTCTATTCCCTGATATTCGCGTTATTTAATAAAATCAGCACTATGGTACGTAATTTATCGTTATTTGCAAGCATCAAGTCGTATGATAAAAAAACGGCAGAAAAAATTATTCGTAAGAGAGATAAGAATTGACAGGCAGATAGGAGAGACTTTATTCGCGTTATTTGTTATACATTTAGATTGTTTTCTATCTTTCTTTCACAGAAACACGATCTCGATGATCTCAAGCCGAAGTCAAAGACGAATTGCGTACATATAGAGGTACCATGTGATAATGAACTAACAAGTACAACGCAACGAATCACAACGTTAGCTTCTCTAAGTCTCGTTTTAATAAGCAACGTTACCCACTCTTATGTGAAGAGAGAGATCTCCGAGCAAAGTAAGACTTACTTATCGACGCAAGTTGATTGAAATGCTTCTGACAGGCGTTTGCGTTTTTTGTTTTAACTTATATATTACATTTGGAAAATATCCAGTAAATTCTACGGAGATAAAATTATGTTTTGACAAATAGAGGTTGTGCGGATATATTTTATTCGTATGAGGCTACAAATTGTTTTCCTGCAATTGATTGATTGATCGAGAATTTAACTGAATCGCTTCCTTCTATCCAGCACTACCAGACATCGGGCGAGAAACGTTTCTTCTCACTCCTCCTGCGAATCCGATGTACGAAGAGTTCAACGATACGTCCAACGACAATTACGAAGAAGATTACGATCCGGATTACGATTATTACGATTTGCATGAAACTTCAGAGACGAATAACATTGATGAATCTTATACCACGTCCTATTATTATAAAGAAGAGAATGGCACTCAGCGTGTGAGCAACAGCGAGACATTGTACGACACGAGTTCGACTATAACCGCCAATTTCTCGTCTGACTCGACAACCATCGAAAATTCCTACAGTTCTGCTGGCAGTTCTATTTTGTCGCAGAGTGAAACTGTGGGATCGACAACCATTGCATCGGATAAAATAGAAGGTACATATTTCGTTTCCTGTATCCTTATACATGAGTACAATAACATGAATTCCCTATATAGCACACAATGTTTATAAAGTATTTTGAAAATGTTATATTGTGTGCTGTTTAGATAGTAATGAACATTTAATGTACAGTTGCAGATTCATCAGAGACCACTGACATCGTTGATATTACCGAAGGGTCAACGGTTGTTGCTTTATTGACTACAACTAGCGAGGAATCTCCTGTTAGAAAGTTTAACGTTACATCTACAACGGTAGATGTCACATCTACAGCGACGTATATCCCGGAAATTAACACTTCTACGGTACAATCAAATGAACATGCAAATTCACCCGCTAAAGAAAACTACGTGATAAAAAAATGTTTCGAAAAAATATGCACTACTACGCTGCCAAATAATTTAGGTAAATGTATTCCTTGAACACATTTAAACACGTTTAAACGCTTATGATGCCAATCTATATTATTTTCTTATCATTTGTATATGCACTCGATTTCAGCTAAGTCCCTGAAACAATTGGATTCAAAGACGCGGAGGAAGTTACGTCGGTTATGCTGGGAAACTATGTTTGGCCAGGAACTTGCCAAGCTCACTGTCATGGATTTGGTAAGATACGAAATATATATATCAAAAGATATTGAAAATGATAAGAAAATAAAGCACGCGAAAGCATCTATTCGATTGGGCCTAAAGACACATTTGGGCCATCCTGTATGAACCCATAATTGTTTTGCCAAATGAAATAACCACTTGGTCTTCTATCTTTCTGTTTATCGAGTTTCAGCCCGATCTGATATATCCTTTCGGGTGTCATTTTCAACGTCCCTTAGTACATAACATAGAATATGGATTTTATGCAATTTATTGCAATCGAGGTCAACTACTGTAGATTTTATACGGTACAAACTGAACTGCTGTACAAACTAGATGTTATCTTTTGTGCGTACGACTGTTCATCATCAGATACTTACCATACTGGCGACCCTCAGCATGGATTTCTTTCGCGCCGTTTTCGTGCGTTTTATGAACAGCTGCTGGTGCTGGGATTTGGAGAAACAGTTCCCGCAATACGGTGACTTCAAGATAGCGGAGAATATCCTTCACTTGGTGAATAATCAAGGCATGGTCTGGATGGGCATGTTCTTCAGTCCTGGTCTAACTGTGCTGAACCTCTTCAAGCTCGGCATTCTAATGTACCTACGTTCTTGGGCTGTTCTAACATGCAACGTGCCTCACGAAGTGGTTTTCAGAGCCTCCAGGTTAGCAATGTCGTCCGGAATTTTTATTATACCTTCACGGCAACTAAATATAAAAAGTGTCGGGCTGCGCTATCGCGAGTATTGTGATTTAAATATGCACCGGCTTTCTTTTATTAACATTTACAGAAATTATATGCATATATATTTTATTTTGCAGATCTAATAATTTCTACTTCGCGCTTTTACTGACGATGCTGTTCTTATGCGTGTTGCCGGTCGGCTTTGCCATCGTCTGGGTCGAGCCTTCGTGGCATTGTGGTCCATTTTCCGGTTATCAAAAAATTTACAACTTAGCAACGAAGAGCCTAACAGACTCGCTTCCGGTGCCAATTCGACGGTGCGTATCTGCTCGTCTTGTAATTTAAATTAAATTATCTCAACGTATATCGTATTTACATTAGACTTTCGCTCCTAGTAAGAAAAATTCAGTTTCTTTAATTATAGTTTATTTAGTTTAGTTGATTCAGTTAGTTATTTTGTTATAAAAATCAAGTTTAAATTCAAACCGATAGAACTGTGTTTCAAATATACAAGATGACTTATCACGAAATCCAATCCTCAGATGTCTCGACTACATTGCATCACCTGGTATAATAATACCACTGATCGTCCTGATGACGTTGATCATTTATTACATGTCATCTCTTGTTGGATCCCTGCGAGAAGCGAATAACGATCTGAAGGTAACAAGATCTATACAGAATATACAGAGTTCCTGGTAACTTCCTGGTGGGCTTACACATTTTTTTTCGATTGCGTTCCAGGTGCAATTGAGACACGAGCGTACGGAGGAACGTCGCAAATTGTTCAAAATAGCGGAGAAGAGGCAGAACGTTGCTGAAACCCCACTAACGAGATGGAAAAAGATTCTCCCGGCGCTGCCGCAGGCCACAGCGGAAATGATACGAAATTCGGAGGCAACTCAGAGGGACGACGTACAAATCGCTATCGGGAACTTGAACGATACAGCGGGGAAGAAACGATCGACGGCTGATATCGAGCAAGATTCGTTATTTCACGATGAAAATCGGAACGAAGGGGAAAATGACTCGAGATTAAACGACACAACGTACAGAAAGAGGTACATTTTTATAATTAGAATATATAAGGTGGGCCATTTAAAGTGTTACGAGCTGTTTTCTCTGAATTTCTATGCATCGAAATAGTAAAGAGTGTTTTACATAAAAGTTGTTTGGTTCGAAGGGGAAAGAAAGATTGGGTTATTAGTTCGATTCCACCTATCACTCTACGTAAAACAGTTTTACGGTGAGTTTATCGAAAAGTGATTATCTTCAAAGAGAAAAACTTGTAAAATTTTAAATGGTCTACCTTATATAACATGCATTGTCCATACGTGTTCGCGTCATGTGCTTTCGATTCACAGTTCACGACGAATTTATCCGTATATCGGAAAATTGTGCGGTTAATTAAAATAAACGATTCTCTTAAACAGGCCAATAAGCTTCGTCGGACCTTCCTGGGATTCGCAGTCGAGCGAACAGGTCGTTGTGCCGGAAATTCAATTGAACAACGAAGATATAATGGTATGCAACGATATTCAAAGTTCTATTGAATTAAACGACGTAGTGCTCGACAGTTACGACAAAGAGAAGACGTAGAGTGACATAGCGTGAGAGTAAAATCAATATATAAAAAATTTAAACGATCGTAAAATTAGTGTTCTCTACATTATCTTAATTCGACGAGAATCAAAGTAGGGGGGGCACATGAAGACACCGTGTGATTAATACGTTTATTTTTGCAAACAAACACAGTGTAAAATATTTATAAACATTTGTAAACAATTGTGTGATAACGATGTGAGAAACAACTATCTCCGAAAAACGATCGCGCACCGTGCACGCGGGATCACACTTCGATTGAGCATTGGCACGTTCCTCTGTACACTTACTTTACTATGAAATATTGTGTGTGCGCGCACGCTAGCATATAACACTGGGATCGTTTTTTCTAATATTGAGTTGTTTAAAAATTTAGGACATATAGGTACGTATACTAATTGCATATATCTCTTATGTATAAAAATATAAACTCATCACCGACAAACGTATAATTAAAATTTTTGCGTTAACATGCGTTATTTACGTGCGATTCTTCCAGCTTAAAAATATACACAACGCTTAAAGTGGTGGAAATAATTAAGGAAGTTCAAGAATCGACCGCGGCAAGGAAAGTTATTACTTTGTTAGAGCGCGGTTCTGTTACAGTTCATCTTTGCGTTCGACATGCTGCGGGCGTTTCTTCTTCGCGTTCGCCAATAAATATAAATTTCCCTCGCCGTGTTTACCGTTCATACGAATCACGGTACACACACACACACACACACACACACACACACACACACACACACAC